GGGGGGGGGGGGGGAATCTGTGAAGGACTAGAGGAGAATATATAAGTGTTCTTAGGACAACTCCAAGAAAAAGATCCCTTCTTTCAACCCCTATATACCAATATCCTCCCTTCAACTGCTGTGCGCCAGGGTAGTCAACATTAGTGGAGGACCAAGGAGGAAGTCAAACATAGGCAAGATGGGACACCACAAGAGCACACAGAGGAAAGAGATTTGCTTTATACTTCCAAAACACAAGAGAATTATTGATTCTTAAAGTTAACAGAGAAGTGAAATGCATTACAGCTTCTTTCTCCCATTGCCTTACTTTTCCGGAGACAGCAGGGCACCTACAGATAGAGGGCCAGCAGCCCTCCAGCACCCAAAGCTTAGTTACCTCCAGCATCTTCTCTCCTTATCCTGACTTGTGCCCAACCAGGGGCATCCTCCTGTTGATACCAAACAGCACCATGCTTTTGTCTGCCAGGCCAGGCCAGTATGTCCAGTACAGAAGGGGTGGGAAGGGAAAGAAACCATTCTGACAAAAGGTGGCATTTGACTATTTAGTGCATCTCCATCTATAGCCAAAGTCTTTAGTGACATTTCCCCATTAATTCTTACCTCAGGCAAGTCCAAAGGTTACTCGGAAGGCTGTGACCAGCTGCCCTGGAACACAGTACCGTGGTCATGCTGGTGGTTGGTAGCAGCAGGTGCTACTGCTATCCTTTAACCACTCAACTACTACCACCCCTTCTCCCCCTGCAGTAGGCTGGATGTAGTTTATATAGGCCCTGGGCTCCTCCCATTCCCAGAATCCTCCAAGAGGATTGGCTAATTAGAGACAACTGTTTGGGTTATTCCATCCAGGTAACAGCATATTTTGGCAGAGGGCCATAGAGCCCTAGTGTCAGCCGTGCATGATTTGGAATAGAATGATATGAAACAAAAGCAACCCCGAGCAGGTAGCCCTGTCTCACTGTAGGCTCACCTCCTAAATCCATGGAGACCAATGGAGCAGACCCAAGTGGTCATATTGCAAAAATGTTTTACAGAGGACTTGGCAAGGAATTCCCTTTGGCCCATCTATGAAGGCTGCTAGAGAGAAAGAGATTGGATGAGAAGAGCAGACATTTCCCAAGCATATTGCTGACATTTTGCTAAATACCAGGGCTGTTAGAGACCTGAATGACTCTGAAGAGAAAAGTCACCCTGATATCCCCTTGGAATCCATAGAAGTTATATTACATTTTGCAAGTCTATTCCCAACTCCTATGAATTCCCCTGTGTGCTGGAGCCCTGTCTGCTCTCCCTTTAGTTGTATCTCCATCACCATCACATCCCTGAGACTGATGACTTAGCTGTTTCAGAACCATGTCAGACAATGACAAGGAGATGAAACTCTTCAGGATCATAGGAGCTACCTAGATTAAAACTGAGGCACATAGATTGGAAGAAAGCCTGTTTGGACATAGGCCTCATGCTCTATCTGTTGTGTTAAGAAGGCTTCAGTCTCCACTCTCTTTTAACCCAATTTGGTTCACTAGTGCCAAATACTTTTAAAAGAACAAAGTTAAGAGCAGAACAAGCAGCCATGGTGTGTTATTATTAAATGGTGTCAGCTCCACATTCTCTCAGCCCCTGGTCTATATTTCAAGAGTGTCCATCATAACACTATCCATCCATCCAATCTGTCATGCATTTCTAGATCATCCATCATAATACCACCCATCCACGCATGCATTTGTCTAGTATCCATCCTCATGGTATGCAGAATGCAGGTAGTTTCTGTACAGGTTGGCCTATCTAACCAGTTCCCCCTTACTAACCTATTGTTGCAGAATAGGAGGTCCTGAAGGAGTGCTGACGGTGGAGAGAGTAGCGAGAGAATGAAGAAGCCAACTGCATGGGAGAAGCATGAGGTGGCAGCGTGGCACTCGGTTTAATGGGCTGTGGCTGATGGTTCCATGGGCATTATCACTACTGGCCCTGAGTCTGTGCTGCTGGGGGTTTTCCAGCACTGCCACTGCCACCGCTGTTGGCCCAGCACTGGACCAGCATGCCTCTGCCGCCTCCTCCAGCCAGGCGCCTCTGGACTGGCTGCTTACCGACCGGGGACCCTTCCACCGAGCTCAGGACTACATCGACTTCATGGAGCGCTATCGGCAGGGATTCACCACCAGGTACAGGATCTACAGGTGAGAGGCAGAGCAAGTGTTTGTTTCCTACCAGTCCATTTCTTTACTTGGACAGGAGAGAAGGGGAGAGAGGCGATCGGGACAGCAAGTGGGGTGGAGTGGGCATGCTGCCACCCTCTGAAATTCCTCCCTTCCCACCTCAAGCAGAGGGTCAGTTAAAAGACTATTCATCTCTCAATACCCTTGTAATCTTTGCATGAGGCAAACTGGGGAACTGCTATGGGACACTGCCCTGGCTCTCAGGTGTCACAATCCCAGCTGGTATTGCATTTCTCAGTATTAGTGCTTAGTGCCAGCACTCACCCAAGAGAATAAACGAATGAAGACAGAACTCTGTATTTGTGAATGACATGCTTACATCTGAGAGGGAACCTGCCGTTTAAATATAAAGGACTGAATTCATTGAAGCCAGGCCTGAATTTTGCCCAAAGAGTTGAAAGCAAATACAACCAACCCTTGTTAACCCTCCTTGCATTACTCTGCCAAATCATAGGTAAATTTTACCCAATAGAGAGGTGGAATAAAAGACTGAACTTTCATTGTCTAAATAAATGAATACAGGCTGTTTTGTGATGCTAGCTCCCTGCTTCGTGTTTTTTAATACATTGCATTTGATCTTTTATTAATTGATTCATGAACTCTGGCAACCCACAAAGACCATCACAGCTGTATGTTAGATTGCAAGCTGAGTTGCTTAGACCACACGTTGTTGTTTATCTCAGATATAATCGTAGTGCCCTAGAACCTGTGTCCTGGACTAGTCATGAACCCCATTGCACTAGGCCATTACAAACACAGAACAAAAAGATGATCTCTACTCCAAAGAGTTTACAATCTCAGTTAAGACCTGGATTCCAGATAGACCCTTTAGGTTCTACTGTGATACAAGTTAATAATACATAAAATAATAATGGTGGCCATTGGTTAAAGAAAAGGTTTGTTAAACCAGCCTAACCCAGCTCCATTAGTTTATTGCTTGTAACAATTAGGAACATAATCAAACAGCAGTGACAAAGGTATTCCAATCTGTTGAATGGCTGTAGCAGTTCATGGAGCAAGCTAGTCACACTTACCTAACGTCTTAATAAATTTAGCCTGCTTGTTCACAATGCATTAATCAGTGGGATACTTCATATGTCATCAGTCCTTTATAGCATTTGTCATACATCTGTGAGCATTATGCAAACCAGCTTTTGCCCCTTCCAGATCTGGTTTTGAATAAAGGATTTCAGAAACTCAATATGTTGGACAGCATTCTGTTCTCACCAGTTTCTGGCAGGTAAGATAAGTGTGCTAAACATCAGCACGATTATCCATGTAACCCCATCTTTTTTATTTGTATTTCCCTTGGCACAAAGGAGTGTCATTCTTTGGGGTCAACCTAGCATAACTAAAAGCATGACGGGAATTTGATTGATCTTCCATTCCTTTGTACTGCTTAGAAGCAGACCCCCTCAACCAGAGAGCATGTGAGGAATGGGGAAAAGTTGGAGGTTTGAGAGAAACAGTACATGGAGTAAAGTGTAATACCCAGCTGCTATATGAACCACAGCCAGCTGGTGCAGTTTAGAGCAGTTTGGGGCTGCTCTAAACTGCTTTGAGACAAGGGCATAGATTGAGGAACAGTCAGCTGGCTGTGCTGGCGCCCTGACAGCCTCATCTCTCTGGTGCGCCAGCCCAGTAAGTGCAAATCAGTGAGACTGTAGTGCAATTCCCCTTCCCAGTTAGCATAGAGATGATCCCAGGGCAGCAGCAGGATGATTTTTGATGAGTAAAAGGCTGGCACAGCAGGAATCTGGAGCTCAGGACACAAGCAGGTGAAAGCAAAGCTAAAGATGATTGGGAAAAAAAAGGAAAAAAATAGAGGACAAATGCCAGGCAGGCAAATAACTCCCTGATGCCTTTGAAACTTGCTGTGATTTCACAGTGAGCTTGGAAAATCATTCTATTTATAGGCCATCCTGCTTGTGAATGTAGAGCAAATAAAGGGGGAAAAAACGGTTCTTCTCCCAGAGCTGGCCTGTGGAACGCAGTTTCACAGGAATAGGTCAAACAGCGTGACTAGGTTTGATAAAGGGCTGGATAATTTAATGTCCAGCTGTAACATTTGTAGCTATAATAATATCTCTTTGCATTTATGTAGCTTGGCCTTGTGAGCACTCAGCCAAATCCTGGAGCGTGGCCATTTCAGCCCCCTATGCAGTAATGGGCCAGGTGCTGTGCTTTGCTTAGTGGCTTGTGTTAGGGGGAACAACATGGAGCTGTAGCACCCTAGGGAAGAGCATGTGCCTCAGGAAGGTACAAACCAGCCCAGCTTGGGATTGAAACCTGGGGTTTACAACAGGACAAGTATGATATTCTACTAGGTAGCCTGAGGCCCTCATTTGCAACTATAGTAGACCCATTAACCATACCTGTGGAGCAACCATTGAGGAGGGATGGGGCAGAGTGCCACATTGTCCCAGAGGGGTATCCTGCACCATCTTTTGGAATGGTGTACCTTACTGTTCTCCACAATGGGCCCACCCACCTCTACTGACCACTATGGAGGGGAAGTGGAGCTATGGTTTCCCCTTCATTGCCCTCATGGGCCATTGGCAAAAACAGTCTTTGCATGGTCCTAAGAGCAATGTCTGCCATGGGAGACACAAGACAGGCAGGGGTGGATTCAGAGAGGGTGCAGTCATATCCATCTTTTGGACCACACTGAAAGAATAGCAGATGGAGACTTTTTTAAGTCCTTGAAGCAAGTAAGAATCCATGCCCCCCTTTCCCTCTCTGCTCCATGGTCTCTCTCTCCTCTCCCATTCCCCACCTCCCTTGTCTGCTGCTGCTGCTCTCTCTGACTGCCCTGGTGGCAGGGAGCTCCAGAACCACTCCAGCCCCAGTCCGAATCAGGCTGAACCAGGGACAACGGCAGTGGCAGGCCAAAAAAAAGAAAACAAAAGAAAAAAATGCCTGCAAGGATCACAAAAAGGATTTGGAGGGGAGAGGGAGATAATAAGAATATTTGATAGCAATTACCATCTTGCTCTCTGCTTCAGGAAGACAGCTTTTGTCCACTGCTGATATTCATTGCACTAGTCCAGGTCATTGTTGGGTGGAGTGAAGCAGGCAAAGGACCTATTTGCCAGAAGCTGTGTACCAAGGACAAGGGCACAGGCCTGAGGAGGCTGATGGGAGGTGACTGATCACTCATAACATGTGAAGCAAATACATATAGTGCATCTGGCTGGTCACCTGGCTTGACAGCTCATCTGAATACCCTGTGGGCACAGGGCATGGGTAATCTATTGCACAAGGGAACATCACCAGATCTGTATATTGCTTTTAGCCCTCCTTAAGTACCCAGGCTCTAGTGTGCTCTTTGCATGTTGCTGGGTTCTCTGCACTGGAGTGAATTTCCTCTGGGATACTTACATAGCAATTCTGGTGATGTTCCTCTTTTTCTGTCCTTTCACCTGCTCCTTTGCCTGGTGATCTAGCTGTATGGATAGGTGTGCTAGGGGGTACCTGGCCGAGCAGAGGGCAAACTTGCCTCCGCCTGCCACAGCCTCAGATGGGCCATAGTGACTCATGATCTAAAATCATTAGCACCTGGTATCAGTGTCAAGGGCTGTGTGTAAGAACCCCAGTGAGCCTCTTGTTGGTTGTATTGCTGCTCTGTGCCATAGCTCATCTTCTGGAGGGTCAACCTGATATTTTCTACCCAGGATTGTTGGGGATTTTCCTAGTCCCTTCCAGAGCTTTCTATTCTTTTCCCATTCTGCACCCCCTCCCTTCCTCCTGCTTTGTACAGAGGTTAACACAGCTATTGCTAGGATGCATTGGTCTATATATATCATTGGTGCAGCACCTGCAACTCCCGTAAGTCCTAGAACCTAGCATGCAAGCTGCTCTCCCACACTGGGTCCCCAGCTCAGTTATTGCCAGTGGTACTGGCCAGTCTTGCAGCATGTATTTCCCTTAGTGCTAATGTTATCACTCTCTCAAATCAGAGCAACGCTGAAGAAGAATAAACAGGGTAGGCACTTCTCAGCTGAGCAGCTGATTATCAAGATGGAGGACTCATCTGTACATGAACCAGAGGAGGGCTGAATTATATAGATAACCATAGGTTAAAGGTCCTGCCAGGTCAACTTAGCTCTTCATCCCCTTTTCACAGCCACATTGGCTAGTGCTCATAATGAGCAACTGTTTAGCGAAAGGTCTTGTATAGTGAAGTTTTGCCCTCTCTGCATAGAGGATAACAGGGCTGACTTTCCATCAGCGAGAAGCGCAGAACAGTGATCTCACTCTGTGTACACAGTTACTACGATGAAGAACACAGACTGAGTCTACATGCACAAAGCACACTAGATATCAAACTGGCCTTTGGCATCTGAGCAGACCCATTTCAGATATGCAAGTCCAGTATGGTCAAGTGTTCAGAGATCATGAGTCATCTCCACCAAAATCATAATACTAATCTACAAACCAGGACATCTTTAATGATCACAACTATTGGACACTGTTCATTGATAACTGCTTCTTGCATATTTAAAATATGGATTTTTAGGGTTTTGTTTGCGACTACAAAAGCTCTAAACACTGTTTGTTTAAAAAAATGAGATTCTTATCCAATAACATGACAGCAGGGGCTGAAGAATGCTGATCATCCTGTGAATTGTGCTGACAGCTCTCTATTTCTACTCACACTAGGAGTACTTGAGGGCACCCCAGTCCTCACAGGATTGAGTCCATAATGCATAACAGGCATTGAGGTCTCTTAAGATAGGAAAGTGTGATGTTATAGATGAGGCTGGTAGCAACACGTGTTACAGAGATGGCCTGGCCTAGTTTCCAACTGATGACAACTTTGCCAGCTTTGACTATTTGGGATGACATTTTCGGTGTGAACACTGGGAATTACAAAGAGACAGACTGGGATATGACAGAGATGACAAATATGGGTGGAGTGGTCAAGGTGAAGAGTTACAAGTGGTGAATTCAGATCAGCA